GATAACGTTGTACATTTGCTGTTATGTTAAACTTATATGAAAGTTTTTCTTCATTACCCATTCAAGCCGTCTCCAAGCATTATCAGCTATATGTAGTTTTAATGACCAAACTTATTTGGATGTCACTTCATAAACAGTATGTCTACATTACATAATAATACCTCTAAAACAAGCCGACAGAACAACTATCTTCAGTTTTCAATAAGGACTGTAAAAAATGGAGAAAATAACTCAATAAAATGACAACGTAGCAAGATATTTATTTGTGTCATTAATGTGGAAACAGTGTTTGAACAATATTCAAAGTGCCACATTACATATTGCAAATTTTGTTGTATTTTTCCTCTACATTACCTTAAGCCTACTCATCATATTTTATTTACATTAAAAAGTAAAAAAAAAATTCGGAAATAATCTAAGCTGAATAATTGAATACTTAGAAAGTTTTTTCTTAAAATGTCGTGTATGAGCCAGGCAGGAATGAGACATAGTAGTGCAGGATGGAGTCAATGAACCCTCTCACTACAGGCTCTGTCTGTGCGACCGAGTTCGTAACCACAAAGTAACAAGTGTTCATAACAGTATTGTTTTATTGCCCTTTGAACCATGTCTAACTAATAACCTCACCAAACAAGTTGTGAATCTTGGATGAACATACATATCTCCTGTCACAAATAGCTTTTCTCGACTTATACTGCCCTCTATATGTGCAACAATTCATTTGTTACTAGCCTTGATACTCCTACCTATCCTCACGTGTATTTACGTAAGACATTTGTAGGCTATCATCCAAATGATTATGCAGTAACCATCCACCAAAGGGAGTGTGACACAACTCATATCATCAATAGTGTCCTCTTTTCCATGCAGCTCATAATCACTTCGAGATTGGGCAGAACATAAAAAACCTGCATCAGAAGTGGGGATTTCGGGTGGGAAATGTGAGGGAAGATAAGTATCTATCAAAAATACATTTTCAATTTAGGAAAATGTTAACTTCCAATACAATATCTTACCTCCTCTCACAAATACCTAGAATCCAACACTGAGTTGGTGGAGGGCCCAGTGAGAAGATGATCCACCTTTCGAAAGCAACTAAAGAAAGACCATAGAGTGAGCAAATAAACAGAAGGCAATACCCCATGGGAGATTGCACCATTTCTGAACTAGATATATCTTCATCTACTTGAAATTATGTTACAATAAAGATAGGAACAATGGAGAGACCTCACCAGTTTCATCATGTATAGACATCCAACCCAACCATCACCATATCTGCCAGGAATCGACATCTAGAGAATGGTAGGAAGGTGGAGAGCAAAGTGGGCGTGCATCTCCAGCCCATCACCAGGACGCATTTGGAATGTATCATCTATTCCATAGTAGGAGAAAGGTATCCAACTACACACCTGTAAAATCTAGTGATTCCAGGTGTAAAGTGGCTAGGGTGTATAAAAACCCTACAACCCAAGCACAATCGAAAGGTAGACCTTTCTTTTTCAGGGGTAAACTAAAGAAGAAAGGTCCATATTTCGAAATCGCTCGGGTTATAGGGTTTTTATTCATTTATATCAAGACTTCTTGAACCTGCGTGTTTTTTAACATCATGAATAACACTTTTTAGTGTAAGCATTATTATTTAATTTATTTTGTACCTTAATATTTAATGATTGTTTAGTTTTCACGACAAGAGTGTTGAAGTTGATTGTTTGAAAAGCATTAATTGTGACAAATTTCGTTACGTAACTCTGTACGAATTGTACAAGCTCACCCAACAGACAGAAGAAAGACCCATGAATGGCAATGAGGTCAGGGCCACCCAACCCAAGCTGCCAAATTATGATGAACAGAAAGCCGACAAAAACGTTTTCCTGGAGAGATATGAAAGATTCATCCAAAGTCAGAACTGGGACAAAGGTGATCAGGCAGTCTGTCTAAGCCCACTTTTTGCAAGAAAAGACCTACAAGTATATGCAGGCATGACGTCATAAAATGTCACGGACTATGACAAATTAAAAGTGGCCTTGTTGAAACTATATGAACTTACAGAAGAAGGTTTTCATCAGAAGTTCAGAAAAGTCAAATCTGACACTGGAGAAACTGTATTTCAGTTTGTAGTACACCTACGGTGATACTTCACAAGATGGACTGATATGGCAAAATGTGAAAATAGTTTTGAGGGACTGGAACATTTATTAATACATGAACATTTCATGATCATGTACTCAACTGACATGTCACTGTTCCTAAAGGAGAGAGCACTAAAAGAAGTAGAGGGGATGATCGAGTTGGATGAACAGTATATGGAAGCCCATGGAGGGAGTATAATGGGCAAGTCCAAGAATATCCACTTAAAGTCGAAACCAGTGGTTTGTTATAAAATGCTATGTTTGTTATAAAAAATGGCACATTGCAAAGGAGTGCAAGTCCATCATCAACAAGCAACAGGAGAAATCTCAACATAAAGCAGCTGGAGCTACTTACAAAGATAGTGCTGGAAAAAAACAAGAAAAAAGTGACTGTCACCATGGATGCTGTTGCCAGAAGAAACAGAATCAAGGAAACACGTCAGATTCACGACAAGAAGGAAGTCTCATTCCTATGATTGATCAGTGTATGACTAATGGTCAGTTGAAGTCAGCAAATGGATCAACAGTGCCAGTAGTGATCGGAGCATGTTCTAAATATCAAGATATTCCAACAAATCACAACATGCCAATAGGCGAAGACTATCTTGGGGACAAGAAAGTGAAGGCCCTATGAGACATTGGGTGCAGTAGTGCAGTAGTGCAGTAGTGCAGCAGTGAAAACCAGTCTAGTACCGGATAACTAGATGACAGGCAAGGTGTACCTGTGTGCGATAATTGTTGGGACAGTGAAAAAGTTTCCCCTAGCAAAAATAAAGGTGGAAACTCCATATGTGTAGACTTTGAAGCCATGTATAACAAGGCAACAGTATACGACTTGGTGATTGGAAACATACCAGGTAGAAGTAAGTTGGAGGAACTAGACAGAAAGAAGAATGCTGTGGCATTTGCAGTCACTAAGAGAGCTGAAGGGAAGAATATAAAGCAAGACATCAAGCCCTTTTGAGTATCAAAAAGTGTCATCCCGAATGTAGGTCTACGGGAATGGAAGAAAGCCCAAAGAAAAACCCTTCTCTGCAGAAACTTCGGGACAATGCCAGGGAGAAAGTCGAAGATAATACAAAATGGAAAAAAATCTTACAAAACAGAGGCTCAGAAAGGAGTATTGAACCGGACCTATCAAAGCAGTTTTACTGGTGAAGCTAAACACATCAAAGGCAGTAAGAAGTGCTTATATAACAAGAAGATCAAGGATCAACATTTTGAGGTCGGACAAAATATATTACTTCTGCTATTTACAGCCAACAACAAACTCACCCGGCAGTGAAAAGGACCTCTCGAAGTCGAGGAAGTGGTCAACAGAATGAACTATAAGGTGAGTGTGGATGGGATAACCGAGGTGTACCATGCCAATCTGTTGAAGAGGTACATTGAGAAGGAAGATTTCACGGGTGCAGCTATTGAGGTACAGATGGACATGGCAGGTGTGGCTGTTATAGATTAGCAAGGAAAGGGCAGACGAGGAGAGGTATGCCATGATAGAAAACAGTAAAACGAAGGTTGTGAAAAAGTAACTGAAGTATTGAGGTCCAAACTCCCAAAGTGACAAGTGAGGAGAAATGTTGTGAGTCTAAGGAGAAAAACACAGAATAGTGCTATGCCAAAGCATGGACTACCAGCGTAAGTGAGGTCACGGTATACCAACCCCTGTATGTAAATGGTCGAGAAAACGACCTGCTTGAAACCCAATTTCCAGTAACGGAGTTGAAACACTAGATACTAATCTGTCGACGTGATACTGAGAAGGGCAGCTGAAGAATCAAAGGCAAAATACATCATACCTAAATTATTAAGTCGACAAAGGGAGAAGAAGGTCTTGGCACTTCCCTGAAAAAGAAACTCGACTGTGAGGTATAGGAAAGAGGAGGCAACAAGCTGTCAAAATCCGCACCTACATGTTCCGGAATACCCTTATATGATAATAGAGAACAATCATCCGGCAACCCAAAAGATATACATAAAGCTAGCTAACTCCCTTCAAACAGAACAATTGCTTCCTCAGCAGACGACATTTGGAACTCCAAATTCAAGTAACAAAAATATAAGAAAAAATGATTTGAAAAACATGAAAAAATTTGTGCTTGGAATAACATTTGAAACACGAGTGAAACAAATTTAGAATATATTGATACAAAAAAGTAGCTCTTGTTCTATTTTGCTGAAGACAAAGTGTAACCGAAAACCGTAATGATTAGAGGATTTCTTTTCCAGTATAATAATTTTCGACATTAATTGCAAAATGCTCAGAGCCCAACCCAATTTTGTTATATCGTTTATAAAACAAACTTTTGATGTTGGGCGATATTGCTTTCCATACAGATCGCGAGTCAGGAAAACAATAAACAAGTTCAGCTGTGTGTATAGTATTAGTAAGTTTTCTCTCTTTTGTTTTTACAGCTTTTAACCAGAATTTACAAATTATATATTCCGAAATAATAAAACAACTGATGGTAAATAGTGACAGTATTTTTAAGTTTATAATATTTTTAGTGTTTTCCTTCTTAAATGGCATAAACCTGAAGACTAGAGTAGACTAGTGCTGGTTCAGACCTAAGGCTAATGATAGTGATAGCCTAACATTAACACTGGTCTCTGTCCCAAAATTCAAGCTCAATATCTGCTCTTATTATCTATTTTTCATTTACCCGAACACAAATATTTCAACAAATGTGACATGGCTAAATGATTTGTAAAAACAAAATATTTCAGGGAATTTCCAAGCCACGAAATAGAATTTAGAAATCTATCAAAACAGATCAAAATAATATTATAAATTATACTACTAGTACTAATACTATTAGTATTACTAATTAATTATAATTTATAATTATATACTTCAAGTTGAACTTCACCTGTTTTGATAATTTTACATTTTATTTGTTGGAAATTCACTGAAATATCTTGTTTTGACTTTACAAATCATTTGGCCTGACTTTTAGAAAATATTAGTGCGTAAGTAAATCAAAAAGAAAAAAAAAAGATTAATATAACTTATAAGCAAGCCTAGAGGGTAGATCCAAAATTTTGGGTTAACAAATAATCCAAATTGTTGTACTGGTTAAATCTGATGATGTGTTATTTATTTCACTATTACTTAGTATTATTCTGTAGTGTTTATGTTAGTCTTTCTAGTGTGCAAGTTACAAATGCAGTGACATTTTAATTTTTATGACATTCAACATTGATCCAATAAAGCTAGATAAAGAAAAGGGTTTGAGAGGTAAATTGAAAATTATTATATGATTTTGAATAAAGTGCAGAAAGAGTGTTTATCACTGTTATGGACAGGCAAGATTTCTGTATTGATACACTTATTCTTTTTTTGTTGTTTACTATGCGCAATATATATTTATTGAATTCTCTACAAATCTACACAGTTTGCTTTCTTTCTCACAATAAAAATATATGTGGTTACAATATGTAAACCCATGTTTCGTTTTTCCTGGCAGTTATTTTGATTTAAAGATAATTATCTCCTAAGAAATAATTACTAATCAAAGGTGCTCGAAGATTAAACAATCCTATGTCATTGAAACCAGGGTTTTTATAGTAGAGATGAGACAGAGCTTTAAACATAGTGTAGCAGTATTTATAGAAGGTAGATTTCAAAGTATTTCCCATTTATGTAAAAAATTACTAAGAGGTATCCAAAACAGTGGAGTAAGAACCTGACTCCAATAGTTTTTGAGGGGGGGACAATAACTATTATTTTGGGATAAAGAGAAAGGCAAATTATGTGGTGCTTCTGGAACTATATTAAAAAAAAAGCATTAATGTGGTATAAGAGAGGACATGGCACTTGCTGGTGGGTGCATATGCTACAGGGCATATCACATCTGGTCACTGTTACCCCCCCCCCCCAAAAAAAAAGCATTGAACATCTTTTTACTCCATTGCAAAGATTATCGTGGAAATATCACAACAGTAATATTCTTTATATCCAAAGTTGCTTGTGTATCTACAACATCTGTGTTTCTAATTATCTAACTTGATTTCTTGTTCACCAAAAACATAATATCCAGTCTTAATAATTAATGTTTTGTCAAACACTTTGTTATCAAACTGTTTTTTGGAAATCAAGGTAAAACAACACAAGTAGAAAGTACTTAACTTGTTGATAGGAATAAATGCATAAACAAGATTACAATATATATGTAAGACACATTTTAATAAACTTTCATTGAGATGTGTGCTCCAATCTAGTTTATTTATGTGAAAATCTGTTTTATGTGTGTTGTAAAATATTATAATTACAATCAGTTTCTTAGGTTACATCCAATAATGATGAATCTTTTTAAAAATGTTTCTCTGAATAATCCCAAATAATAAATGTTAACACTAAAAACAATAAAGAGTAAACTTACAACTGGAGATAGTCACTTTAAAAGGGGAGGGAATTGACGATTTCTTGAAAGATAAAAGATGGGTTGAAGTTTTTTACTTTTCTCAAGGGTGGGTATTTGAAGACTGCCAGGGGTAGTCTTGAAGAACTAGACTGTCTATTATTGTCCATATTTTGACATCAGAAATTTATGTATTTATTCTAAACATCCAGTAGAGTTTCATTTCCATATAATTTAATGGCAGAATGATGTACTTCTCATTGCAAGTGTGTTTATTATTGTAATTGTACATGCATATTACATTTCTAGGGATCATACACAAAAAATGTAGGAACTTTGCATTTCATTTATGTATAATATATAACAATACATATTAGAATAAAGTAAAGTAATTTCATATAACTTGTAAAGAAATGCCACAGGCTTTTACAAATGTTCTATTCTGAGTTTTTGGTTGTGGTGCAGGTAATTTTGGAATTTTTACTCACTGATATCTAATAATTTGGGAAAAATTATATTTTAAAAGTAAATTGAACATTCATGCATTTTGGAACCAAAGATTTTTTATTACTAAAGATACTTCCCCACTTATTACTTAGTAATAATTATTAATTTTTGAGTTTGCTTGGTTTCACAGTTTGTAGTTTTGACAGAATAAACATTATGTAGATATTAATGACTTAAGTATTATGTATTTATATGTTGTTCAGCACTATCAATGCTTTACATTTTGTCATTGCCAAACAATTAATTTTGAACACATTTGTATGCTGCTTTAATTTTAGCTCTGTTGCCCACTTGCCAATGTAGATCTGTTTCAGCTGGATGAGTATAATTAACAAGTATGTTTATTTTAATATATACTTACGTTATGCAAAGATTTTAATGCATAGATAATAGTATTTTTTGAATCAGATTAAAACTAACTGTGATTTATAAAATACTGCTATTGGTGTTGGAATAATTGTGGCTCCAGTGGCAAACAAAACAAATTCAATATAATTTCCACAGACAAAAAATTATAGGAAAGAAACTGTGTTAATTTGAAACTTCAACAGTGTATTCAAATTTACAAGTTTCAGTGGTACTAATTCATATAAATCTGATTACAGGGACCATGTTTAATCTGATGATGAGCTTTAGGGAAGTATTTTATGTTTGATTTGTAATGAATCAAATTTTGCATTACACACTTCACTTTTGTAATTCACAATGTTTTTACACATAACTAATTACTGTTTTATCATTCTTTTTTGATTGGTGTCTGTCAGCTTGGCTGTTATTTTGTTAATAAATCTAAGTTGTTTAGTACAACAGTTGTTTTCATTACCTGTTTTTGAACCTCAAAAATAAGGTTAACTATTTGATAAATAATTATTCAAAGAAACGAAGGAGCTGTGAAATTTTTGTTTTTAATTATTGAATATTAATAATCACAAACCACAAGTCAATCACATGCACAAATGTTTACAGTTGTAACACACAATAAAGTTTCGTACTTGTCCATGTTTTACACAGATTTGGCACTCATGCAATAAGAAATATTAAAATATCAAATATGAATTAGAAATGTGAATAATTTGTTTACAAAATTTGAAAAGTACCATTTAATATACAAAATAACTACATAGTAGTTGGAAGAATTTGCATAACACTGCACCAGCATGGAACTTTTATGTTCTCTCAGGTACATGCATTCTAGGAAAAATATTAGCATCAAATTGTTTGAATATTGAAAAGAGTTTTCAGAATGCTATTTTTTTTTATAAAAAAATATTTTAATACTATATTTAGTAGACAGTGGCTGTACTTATGGGCCTGTGTTCCTTTTCTTATTTTTATAGTGGTTTATGTTGTGTACACGAAATAACGATATTTGGCACAACCTGGTGAATGTGATTTCAGCATTCATTGTAACATAGCTACCACTAGTGAAAACAGTATTTCATTTGCTGCCAAGGGATTTCCTTCATATGAAGAACTTAATTTTGTGGTAAATCAGTATAAAAAGAAAAATTTATTTTACCTGTAGGGCTGGATGATTAGTGGAATTTAATGATTGATTAATTGTTGGGTTTGTGAATAGATTATTCTCATATGAGACTTGGATAGTGCTAATCGGAAACACTAGACGTAATAATGAGAAATCATTATTGCAATATTTTGGATAGTTGGAATAATCAAAAACACTAATTTTGATTGGTTCATTATTTTCATGACATAATCAATTGAATTATAATTTCAACTAATTGATAAATTACTTGACACCAAATGACATAATTAATGCTCATAGGTAATTCATTATTTTGATTAACAAGTTGTTTTCCCACCTCTGTCAACATGTATGTAAGAAGTTAACATATGCTTAAAACACGTAGGGCACTAAGAATGAAACCAACGAAAGGCTAAAATTTCACAAGCTTCGTTATGCTTGCAAACAATGTAACATGAAAGGCATCTTGCAGTGAAAACTGAAATCCAGTTGATCAACCACAGCAAACAGACAAAAAAAGGAATTTTAATTCTTAAAAGAAATGTGTTAACATTTTTATTTAAAGTAGTTAAATATTATATAAATTTACAAAGTGAAGTTTTTTGCTTTCATGTGGTAGTAGAGAAAGTTTTGACTGTGAAAAGGGAGAATTTGACTCCACTGTGATTTCTGACATTGCATATCAAAGATATACTTCATAATAGGTGTGTGTTATAATTAAAGCTAGGCAATTAATGGAGTTGACTAATCAGTTAATGAACAATCTCATAAATTGATTGCATTCAACTAATTAATTATTCTCATGGGACTGATTTTCCTTTATTGAACTTGTTTTGTTTATTTGTATAAAAACATTTTATCTGATAGACATTGTCAGGCATAACAATTTTGGCCTAAGTCACTTTTCAATTTCAAACTTTTGTACAAGAAAATGTTCCAACATTTCAAATGCTCATGTGACTATAGTAAATGAGCCTACAAGCCAGCAAAAACATCTGTATTAATATTTCTTACCAGCAGTGTACATACACTGCTGCATCATTTGAGATGCTCAAACTAGGCGTCACCAGCATTCAGACAATTATGACATCTACAACATAGTGGCTGATATGCTGTTACACAATTTTTAACTCTGATTCAATGGAAAGTATTGTTACGTCTCCGTGTGTTAATTAATTTTCC